GCCGATAGCCTCGTGGTTAGAGCGCTCCCCTCCCCAGGAATATCTCACAGTAAATCTGATTTATTTCACCTGAAGCTTTTTTTTTTTTTCCCCAACATAAAAATCAAATGAAGGATTTCCTCACCCGGGCTGTGATCTGGATTCTCTCCACTCGTTACATTTAAACATCAAACCCCTTTTGACTCGTCGACTAGCAAAACCAAACCGTCAAACTGTGATCTTATGATCCGCCTCGCTGCGTAATTCTAATCAATGCTAGCAGCGGCGTCTGTTCAGCTAGCAGGGGGTCAGGAGGACCTCCTCGGAGACCAGCGGGGGTTGGCGAGTGAGCAAACACGGAGGACCTGCAGCGCTCCAACGGTCTGATGAGGCAATCAGAGAGGGGATTGACAAGGTCGCTGTGTGTGTGTGTGTGTGTGTGTGTGTGTGTGTGTGTGTGTGTGTGTGTGTGTATGTGTGTGTGTGTGTTTGAATGCTCCTCTGCTCTCAGGTCAGTTATTCATGGCTGCATATTATGTGCGGGGTCTCGGAGCTGCAGGTGGAGCTGCAGGGAGTCGAGCGAGGGCGGGAACGTAAAAGTCATTTGAAGCACTTAAGAACTGCTATCCCACAGTTACTCATTCAGCAGGCTTATTTTTAAAAACAGCTGCTATGGTTTCATAAAGACTGAGCGTGTAAATAGCAAAGAGAAATGATGGAGGGGAAACTATTAACCATCAGAGCGACGGCGTCCAAATCAAGCTCGATTCTATTGTTTCCTCTCGGAGTGAGCTAACAGCCCTCTCTGACGCTCGCATAGACGGACGAGGAAGGAGGGACGAGGGGGATCTACAAGGCACTGACACTCCCTTTTCTCCCTCAGCAGAGCTCGTTAGCTTGTTTTCACAAAGTGGAGATAACGGTGCATTAATATAATCCACATCTGCGTTTGAAATGTTGAGCTTTGACTCGAGTCAACACTGGAGAAAAGTGTGTGTTGTGATTTTGAGTCAACAGCTCGTCAATACAAAGCACCACACTTCAGTTCATTTACCTTCAAAATAAAAGCACCAGATGTAATGTTGTGAAATGTTTAGAAGGGGAAACCTGTGGAGTCTCTCAGTGGTTGAAAGGAATGACTCTCTTTCTCTCTTTCTTGCTCTTGAAAGGAGAAGCTATTTCTCAAAAAACAAACTTGACAAGTTTTGGAAAGTATGGACAATTTTTGACAACTTCCTGGAGGGTTTGGACTGATGAACAGATCTGACCGTCAGTAGGGCTGCTATGTTTTTATTTTTATTATTATCATTTATTTATTATTATTATATATTTTTTCCTTTACTTTTTTAAAATTTTTTAGTTTTCATATTGTGTGTACTGTTTTGCTGTACACTGTTTTTGCTTTGATATAAAAGACAATAAAGAGATGGTGTAAAAAAAAAAAAAAAAGAAGGGGGAAACTGAAATTCACAGAGCAAAGCTGGACGCGGTGTGAACAGCAAGCAAGCGACTGGCGCGATGCGATGTGACGCTATGTGACAACTTCCAGATTTATCACACCTTCTACTCTTTGTTCATGTTTGAAATACGATGAGGAGAACAGCGCTGAATTCTTACATCTCTTATCTTATGAGAAATAGACGACAAGTGGACTTACCCTTCTGTCATACTCTGAATGTAAACCAGATATGACCAGATTATCAAAGTCACAATTTTCTTCAAATGCTAAAATCAGAACAGTTCACTTCAAAACACTTCAGCGCTAAAATAAACAAAAGTAATTAAATGAATGATATAAATGACATCTCTGGTAGTTTTTTACCAAATAACCAGTAACACAAATTAGACTATTAATCTAAACCATCTGTTTGTCAGTGATGGTGTCTGCTGAGAGTGACTCAAAATCAAAGAAGATCTAAGTCAAATTTGTCCTGAAATATATTCTGCTCATCTGTATTTCAAAGATAACAACCAATTCTGATTCTGTGATTTTAATGTTTTGTTGGATGTTTGATTAGTGATCAAAATAAACTAACTAAACTAAACATCTCTGAAACAAATATCATCATCAGTCTTCCTCTCAAACCTCCGTGAAGAAAAAGGGTCAATAACACTTTTTGTTTCTGCAGATTTTTTGTCCTTCAAATGACCGTGTTTGTCCTCTCTGTTCATCTCACCTCCGTCCCCCTCGCTATCCCTCTGTCCACCCCCCCCCCCCCGAGATAATTTATCCTTCCTCACATGAATAGGACAAGAGGGAGCGAGTAAGTGGAGGAGAGGTGGGGGAGCTTTGTCCCTTTAGATCTCACCCAGATGTTTCCTTTAATCCTGTAATTATCTCCAATTAGAGTAATGGATGCAGGAGATGAAGTGTGAGCACGCTGAATCCATTCAAGTTTTAAAGAGAGATCTGTTTTCTTCTGGACACTTTCTCACTCCATAGGTTTCATCTCTGTGCACCTCTCTCTCTCTTCCTTCATGTCGTTTTATCTTGCTTTCCTCCCACTCCTCCCTCTCAAAGTCCGGCCGTGAATTCACCCTTAAAAGCGAGGGAGCGGCGAGAGCAGGAAGGGGGGGGGGGGGGGGGGACAAAAACAGAGACAACAGAGCAGGAAAGAAGGGGCCCTTTAGATGATGCAGATGATGCCTTTAATCCTGTCAATAGGTGTAATTATAGTAATTATCTCTAATTGCCGTGCATTGTGTCGGCTCTCTGATATGTTTAACACATGAAGCCAAGTCGTGCCGCCTCCGCCGCGCTCAGAAGGCCGGGTGAGCGCACATTAATGAAACCGACACAAAAACAAGGGTGGAAACTCGTGACGGGCCCCGTGAGGTTTAAAGACTGTGCAGAGTGGTGTCTCAAGCTCCGGGTCGAGGAAAGAGAGAGAGAGAGAGAGAGAGAGAGAGAGAGAGAGAGAGAGAGAGAGGGAGAGAGAGAGAGAGAGAGAGAGGGAGAGAGAGAGAGAGACAGAGAGAGACAGAGAGAGAGAGAGAGACAGAGAGAGAGACAGAGAGAGAGAGAGAGAGAGACAGAGAGAGAGAGAGAGAGAGGGAGACAGAGAGAGAGAGACAGAGAGAGAGAGAGAGAGAGAGAGACAGAGAGAGAGAGAGAGAGAGACAGAGAGAGACAGAGAGACAGAGAGACAGAGAGAGAGAGAGAGACAGAGAGAGAGAGAGAGAGAGAGAGAGAGAGAGAGACAGAGAGAGAGAGAGAGAGACAGAGAAAGATTCTTGTGAGGAGGTAGAGACGAGGCTTGAGAGAAAATGGAGTGAGAGGAAGATGTGCTTTAGTTACCAGATGTGTGAGGTTGTAAAATGAGTTCAAAACAGAATGAAATAAACTCTCGATGGAGCTGGATCATATAATATTATGAAGGATGAAAACCGAGTTTAGCAAGAAAAGTTTCAATTTTTGGACTTTTTGTTTTGTCTTTATTTAGAGAGATAGGACAAAGGATAGAGTCAGAAATAAGGGAGAGAGACATGTTTGTTGAGATCCTCAGGTAGAGGTCTTCCTTGTGTTTTAAATACCAGACTGAAAACTATAAAGGGGTCAGAGCGTTCGCCGTGAGGGCTCCGACCCCCAGGAGATCAGTTCAGCTGAGTCAGGAAAACAAAAAGCTGCATTTTTATACATAAAAGCAATAAAACAGGAGCATCCTGAACTATAAGAACACAACTATAAAGGAAGAGAAAGAAGCTAACACTGCTCGTCCAATAGGGGGACAAACGTGCCCAGTGCTTACACACACCCTCGCATGATCTTCAATGTCTACACAGCAGCACACAGGTTCACCCATGCACTCACCCAGGGGCTTGTATCACTTCGTTAGTAACACACCTGTCCCCAAAACACACACACATTCATAGCTTAAAAAAAAAAAAAAAAAAACACTCTTTATCTTCTCCTGCTTCACTGACTCCTCACACACTCATTTTCTCTGCCACACACACACACACACACACACACACACACACACACATGCACACACACACACTAAAAGCCCTGCCAGGTCTGGATGTGAGGTATCTCCTTGATGCTCTGATAGAAGCTGCAGACAGCAGGCAGAGCACGGGTCAATAATGCATTAGATGGAGGGCTCCAATCTACTTCAGCCCGCATAAAGCGTCTGTGACCACACACACACACACACACACACACACACACACACACACACACACACACACACGCACAGTGTACACACACGTCTCTCAGTCTCAGTCTCACTCCCAAACATTGTCTGAAGGCTGTCAGGAGATCTCCCGTCTCCTCTTCGTTTTCTCGTCCTACTTTTTTTTTGTACCTCCTTCCTCATGGATTCACACATTTGAATTCTTCTTATTTTAATTTCTAATGGGTTTTCACATCTATGCCTGAATGATTATGACTCGTATCGATATGAGCTGACGCTGATGTCCCGGCTTACACTTCAAAGATAACCCGTCTGTGTCTTTGTCTCAGCTCCCAGTTATTTTAAAGGAAAAGGTTTTGCCTTCACCTCCACTTTTCCAACGACTTTTTCTACATGAAATGAAATCGAACCACAAGAAGAAAATAATGATGCTTTGAAATGAGAAAGTGGTGGACTAGTGGTTAGTTCACACGCCCCATGTACAGAGGCTGTAGTAGTCAAAGCGGACGGTCCAGGTTCAAGTCCGACCTGTGGGTCTTTTCCCGCATGTCATTCCCCGCTCTCTCTCTCTCCTGAGTTTCTGTCTCTATCCACTCTCCTGTCTCTCCAATAAAGGCAGAAAAAGCGCAAAAACAAATCTGTAAAAAGTACTTACAGTCCTATCGTCTTCAAGATTCACTCATGATCGTCCACATTTTACTGTAAACGTCCACCCAGTTCATCAACACCGCGAGCTGCAGCCTCCTCAACAACTGCAGCCACACATTCAATCACCAGATCTCTTTCCCACAATGCCACATTTTAAAAAGCTGTAACCTCGGCCTCGCACACTCACAGCGAGTATGAACATTCATTAAAAAAAAAAGAAAAAAGTGTCTGACTGACCTCGTAGAGTGTGATGACCCCGTTGGTCTCGTTGGGAGCTTTCCACTGCATGAAGATCTTCTCCTCGTACGGAGTGTTCTGCAGCGACTCCATCGGCACCGAGCCCGGCACTGTGGAGAAAACAGAGAAAAAAAAAAAACTTGACTGAGAACTCTTAAACTTAATGTGCATAATGAGGGGAACTGTGGTTACATTTGAAGAGAATAGCATGCCTTGTATTGAATTCATAAAAAGTCACAACAGCAGCGACGAGACATCAAACAATAAGCAAACAGCTGCATGGAAATCTTGAAACGCCTAGATGACAGACAAACGGATAAATGTGATTCTGAACAGGCGGAACATGAACTCTTGAATTTAGTTTGAGACTAGACTGAAGCTTCATCTTGAACGGCATACAGATATCACACAGTGTGTTAACAACAGACATGAGCTGGACTGAGTGTCACCTCCTGAAATCAGCTGTTGTGCAAACTAAAATCTGCCAGCCGACGGCGGTGAGGACGAGGAGCCCGGGGCCGGTGGTGGTGTCGGTGCTCTCACTGTTTGTCTATGGACACAGACATGGAGTCTGCTTTCTGCCAGGAATTTCCAAGATGCCAATTCATTCTGGAAGAAATCTTGGAATCAGTTGAGGAAACGGCCATATGTGTTGTAATAAATATGTCTGTAAATAGAGGATCTTAGTGGGAGTGGCCTGCGGTGCTGTGCATTCTGGGATTTGGTGTCTTTCATCCACATGAGCCGAAAAGACACTTTCTGCCTTTTCTCGGTCAAGAAGGCTCCTACTTCAACATTTACTTCACATTTCTACTACATATATGACCCAATGTCAATACAGATTCATGTTTCAACAGGTGTGAAGTATCCCTTTAAGGGGACGTGCAACTTATTTCACTTGGTGTAAGTTTAACTCTGAGTTTTGACTTTGAGGTCGAGCTGTGATGTTGTGCAGCTCGGCTGTAATTAATGAATTGAATCCACTCTCCTCCCGAGCCGAGAGGAGAGGAGCTGGACGAACCCGTACATGGCCCCACGTGGAGATAAATGTTGAAGACGCTGAGTAACGGCACAACCTGCTGAGACAAGACGACAGCAAGCCTCAGTGATTTTTTTTTTTTCCGCAGCTATACGGGCACATTTTGTGACGCACCGCTGGGCGCTCTGCATTCAAAATCAATTCGTTTGGATGAAAAAAGCTCAAACGAAAGTCTATTAGCTCACAAAGTCAATTACTAAACCAAAGTCAATGGAGCAACCGTCTGCTGTCAGGGGGAAATGTCCACCTGGAGGCAGCTGCTCTCCAAGTTTAGGGAGGGACTCGGCGCACTTTGTGAGTATTTGTACGGTCACTTTAATTTTTTAATCTACTGGACTTTTAATGACGCAAACTGCACTGAACTGTCTGAAATCACACACTACACTCAGCAGGACATTTTTATTTATTAAATATGAAAGAATACAACTTCAGAGTGTAACCGTGTTTCAAGCTTGATGTCTGAACTTTGCACAGTCGTCGACTTGAAAATGAAACTCTTGAAGTGTTTTGAAGTAAGAACGGAACAAACAAACCAGAAACACCTGCAGAACAGAGCTGCAGTCCATGATTGCAGATATTAACTGCACAGCATCCTGATTACATCATTCAGCAAATCAGACAGCTTTACTTCCGTGCGCACACACACACACACACACACACACACACACACACACACACACTTTTGACTTATTATAGTCAAATCTGCCTAGTAACAGTGTGTGCACTTGTGCCTGTATTTGCAGGAAGAGAAAGATGTTCACACATTTTCATGTCAACACAGACAAAGAAGAAAAGTGTCAGACACCTTGTCAGGGTCTGAAGCTGTCAAACACACACACACACACACACACACACACACACACACACATACACACACGTTCACACACCCACACACTGAGTGGTGTGAAATGTTTTCAATGTTAAGGGCTAAGAGAGACAAAACAGAGCCATGCGGGAGGGAAAGCTGGCTGTAATGTGTTTAAATGCTGTCTTCTACACTTGCAGGATTCGGTTCTAGCATGCCGTAACCTCTGACCTTTAGTGTTCAGTCTTGCTCTCTCTGCTGAGTGTCAACTCATCGTCTGCATTGTGAAACAGAAATGGCTGAAACAATCGCAGGAAGCTCTTATTACAGCCACAACATGAATCCTAAAAACAAAAACAAAATCGGATGCTTCATAATGTTTCCTTTAAAACTGAGCATTTGGACGCCTTTATCCATCTTTCCTTTGAACGTGAAGGGAGCTCCAGTTTGGGGAGTTTTAAAGCTTTTCAGCTTTTATCAAGTAATGAAAATGCGTCTTTAAGATTCAAAGCGCCACACAGACAACAGAGCCAATCCTTTTAGATAACAAAAGCTTTCATTGGACGGCTCCATTGTGACTTCACTGTTTTAAAGAATCTCTTTAAAAATGTCATTATTTATTCCCTGAAGGTTGCCCACACATTAATGAAACTTTATGTTGTCTGAAGGAGGTTATGACCTCCGCTATCTTTGGCTGCATGCAACATCTGTCTGTGACGCAGCATCCTGTCACGAAGCAAGAAAATACTGACAGGCCTTCATCCTTGATGGTTTAGATATGTGTATGTACCTGCAGTGAGGGTATTTGTAGCCCTCACAGGTGTTTCACATCATGTTATTTCACATGTCAAGGTGACAGTGTCATTATGAATATGAGGTCATCACATGAAATGACAATAACCTGCAGCTGTGACATCATCATGGGGTTATCATGGGTGATTTTATTGTAGGAGGTCAGCCCTGAAAGGCGAGGTGTGAATGCACGGCCCACCACTGATATGTTGATTTGTTCCATACTGACAGAGGCGTGATTAACTGAAGGATTGCACGGCTAGCTAAAACTGTGCAAATGCATCAAAAAGACACTGTGTAATTCAGGAAACACACACAAAGGGTTAAACGCTCCCCTGACTGCGCTGCAGAGCAAACAGCGTGTCCGTGTGTCGCTGCTGTCTGCGCTGTATCTTTCAGAGATTGTGCGGTTATTTAGGGAAAAATGGTCCCTTTTCTTCAAGAAAGATCATAATTCATAAAACACCGGCAGCAACAGCCACGTGCAGTAAGAGAGGAGAAATCACCATCTGCGGAGAGATGGTGGTAACTGCACTGTGGGATCAGAGATCATAAAAAAAATTAAAAAAAAGTATGTAAAATATAACTCTGATATTATGAAGATGACAATAAACTTGACATAATGTCCCCTCCCCCCTGCAGGAAGCTTTTCAACACATTCAATCAGAAACACAAGCAAGCAGCACACAGCAAGACAACCTCATGGGTGTGTGTCTGCTTTGTGAATTAGAGCTCTTGTTGACACAGATATGGTTTCACACACATTAAGACACACACAAACACACCAACACACACACAAACGCACACATACACACACAGGAGAAGCAGACTGTCAGAAGACTGACTGAAGAATATTTTGATCAGTAATGCGGAGGTGTTGATGAGACCCCCGCCTGTGGAGCAGATCAAATTACCCGAACAAAGAAATGCAATTAGATGTTGCCATTTTTATTCAACGTCTTATAACTCACCCAGGTGTGTCTGTGTGTGTGTGTGTGTGTGTGTGTGTGTGTGTGTGTGTGTGTGTGTGTCTGTGTGTGTGTGTGTGTGTGTGTGTGTGTGTGTGTGTCTGTGTGTGTGTGTGTGTCTGTGTGTGTGTTCACCTTGGGGCCTGAGACAGAAGAAAACAAGACTTCATTGAAAAGATAAGGACAGCTGTTATGCATTAATCACAAGTTGATTAACTTTAATGCTGCACAATAAAGGAGTCTCTCTCTCTCTCACCCTCTCTCTCTCTCTCTCCCTCTCTCTATCTCTCTCTCTCTCACCCTCTCTCTATCTCTCTCCCTCTCTCTATCTCTCTCTCTCTCACCCTCTCTCTCTCCCTCTCTCTATCTCTCCCTCTCTCTATCTCTCTCTCTCTCACCCTCTCTCTCTCTCTCTCTCTCTCTCTCTCTCTCTCTCACCCTCTCTCTCTCTCTCCCTCTATCTCTCTCTCTCTCCCTCTCTCTATCTCTCTCTCTCTCACCCTCTCTCTCTCTCTCTCCCTCTCTCTATCTCTCTCTCTCTCACCCTCTCTCTCTCCCTCTCTCTATCTCTCTCTCTCACCCTCTCTCTCTCTCTCCCTCTCTCTCTCACCCTCTGTCTCTGTCTCTCTCACCCTCTCTCTCCCTCTCTCTCCCTCTCTCTATCTCTCTCACCCTCTCTCTCTCTCCCTCTTTCTCTCTCACCCTCTGTCTCTCTCTCTCTCACCCTCTCTCTCTCTCACCCTCTCTCTCTCTCTCTCCCTCTTTCTCTCTCACCCTCTGTCTCTCTCTCTCTCACCCTCTCTCTCTCTCACCCTCTGTCTCTGTCTCTCTCACCCTCTCTCTCCCTCTCCCTCTCTCTCCCTCTCTCTATCTCTCTCACCTCTCTCTCTCTCTCTCCCTCTTTCTCTCTCACCCTCTGTCTCTCTCTCTCACCCTCTCTCTCTCCCTCTCCCTCTCTCTATCTCTCTCTCTCTCACCCTCTCTCTCTCTCCCTCTCTCTCTCTCACCCTCTGTCTCTCTCTCTCTCACCCTCTCTCTCTCCCTCTCCCTCTCTCTATCTCTCTCTCTCTCACCCTCTCTCTCTCTCTCCCTCTCTCTCTCTCACCCTCTCTCTCTCTCTCTCTCACCTCTCTCTCTCTCTCTCTCTCTCTCTCTCTTTCTCTCTCTCTCTCCCTCTCCTAGTTGTTAAGAGTTTTGTGTTATGTGTGAAAATTTGTCAGATGCCATGTATCACAAGCTTTTGAGTTTCTGCAGTCAGCTTTCAATGTTGTCCAGTCTCGTTTGAGGGAACTAAGGTTGGTCATAAACACTGATAAAACAAAGCTCATGTTGTTCTCACATTTAAGTGGAGAAACAACAAATGTCCCATTGATTTTAACTTCTCAAGGAAATGAAATCGAGCTTGTCAAAAGCTACAAGTACTTGGGATTTATTCTTGAGTGTGATCTGTCTTTTAAATCACATATTGCCAATTTGGCCTCTAAACTTAAGGTGAAGTTGGGACTT